ATTTCTATGTGACTATCCCACCAGGTGTCTCTTGTTAATAAATAAATTAGCATGTAGCCATGCCACCTGCTTGTTTGTCTCTTGTTTGTCTTCTAGTAATAATAAAGTATAATATATAAAATATTGTATAAAATAGGTTGAAATCCAAATTTAGAAGTCCACAAAGGTGCCTATATAAAGGCCTTGAGGGAGAGAAAAAGGTGACAAATTACTCAAGAGTATACTTGACACTAAGAAAGAAGTCTGGCTCTTAGGCTTTCTTAGAGCAAACAATATTCTAGCAATCCAACAGTTTACAGACACACCTTTCTTTGTAAATCTTTGTTCAATAAATAAAAAAGTTTTTCATTTTTAGAAAAGAGTTTGTTATTACTATATATCAAGTTATTGATCTTAGGTCTCTTGTATAACCAAAGAAGCAGTTTCTGAAGTTACGGTCTGAGGTAGGAAATGAAGCAGATCTATGCTGAGCCTGATCTAAGGAAGGAAAGGTTGATGGTAGCTACCTCTGTAAACTGGAAGCTTGCCAACGCCAGAGCCCCACGCCAACTACGTTCAGGTAACGGTCAAAATCTTTAGATAATGTTCTTATTTTGGAAGCAAAGTGGGCTTATAATCAAAACAATTAAAACTTTTTCCTTTTTATGAGTTTTTATCACCATTTTTATATCCAAGACCTGTTGCTAAATCGTAATCAAGTAATAATATTAATAGCAAATTGTCGCCAACATCGTAAATTTTTACAAAATCAACGAAGTATTGGTACTGTTAAAGATATAGAAATTACTAGAAAAAGAGTTGATAAAATATCTGAAGAAATCGTATATTATCAAGAACAACTAGGTTTAGTATTAAAAAAAAAATTATAATAATAATAATTTTTCACATCATCAAACCACATCATTTGAGCCAAGTTGAGCCACAAAAATTAGGGCTACCTAGCATCACTCTATATATATATTTCTTCCACATGATGGGGTTTTATTTAGATTATTATTGGGCGGTTACTGTTAGACTAGTGAACTAATTGATGGACTTATATATCTATTGGATTATAATTGTCTAATTGCAATTTTATTTAAAGTAAATTTGTGATAAATCCAATTTAAGGAGGTTGTAAGACATTAGGTCCAATAGATATTTTTTATTAATGAGAGGTCCACCCTTTGTGAAAAAATTTGATGAGAAATATTTTTTCTTGTTTTAAAGGGTATTTTGTTCTAATTTTACCCCTTAATTTATCTGTTGATTTTTTTATCTGTTGACTTTCATTGACTATTTGTTCAAATTTCTTTCGTATCTGTAATTTTGCCTATCTATTCAAATTTATTTATATCTATCTGTTCAAATTTTTTTCTTATCTGTTCAATTTTTTTCCTTTTATCTATTCAAACATCTGTCCAAATTTTATTATCTATTCATTTTTTTCCTATTTGTTGAAATACCAAGCCCCTATCTGTTCAAATCTTTCTTTTCACTCTCCATCTCCATATCTGTTGTAATATGTTTCACCATCACCATCATCATTATCGTTAACAACATATCTGTTCTTTTTTTTTCTATCTGTTGAAATACGAAGCCCTATCAGTTCAAATCGCTCTCTCTCTCTCTCTCTCTCTCTCTCTCTCTCTCTCCCTCTCTCTATTACAACATATGGAGCTCCTGTTTTAGATGTATGCTAATTAATAGAGACAAGAATGCTAAAATGACCCCCTTTTTTCAATCATAATTCGTATACCAACTTATGTGTCAATATTTAATACGTCACCACTAGTGCATGAATGGGGGAAAAAAAATTTGATAATTATAGCATTGTTGTAATAGAAAAGTCCACTTTTACAAAATTTATGATTGCAATGATATGGGTATATTTGAAAATTTAACTCACTTTGTTGGATTAAAATAAGAGACTCATTATAATAAGAGAAACACCAGTCAAATGAGCTCTTTGCTGCTGAGGCTTTCTTCTAGGTGTTGATCTGTTGCTCTCCCTTGTGCTTTTTGGGTTGGTGTCTTACCAACTGCGAGTGGTGCTAGCTAATGCATGGTAATGCTTCTCGGTGCCAACCTAGTTGGAATCGGGTTGTCGTTTTATTGATGATTGTCAATGTATTTTGCTTGATCATTATTAATAAAATTTCTTTTTGGCTATTTCAACAAAAAAAAGGAAAAAAAAAAAGAAAAAAAGAAAAAGAAAAAAGAACTAGGTCTAATCTTTACACAAAAGTTTAGAGCTGAAGTATATTTTGAAGTTCATTCAGAAGTCACTTTTCAATGAATTTGTTTCCTACCCTACCACACCATTTTTGGCGGGTTACTTTACTTGTGCCCTAAAAGATTGAAGTCTCTCTCTCTTTTTTCTTTTTGAATAATCAGGTGTCCGGACTAGTTTACGTGCATGAAAGATTAAACCCTTATATTAGTTTTGTAATATCTGTTTGGCTTAGAGTCAATTTGAGAGTATCATGAGTGGAATTGTCATTCATCAGATTATATTTTCCACATTCAATGTTAATGGCTGAAATTGAAAGGGACTTTTCATCACCATTTAGTAGAGTAATATTCATATTGTCATCATGAAAGATGGTTCTCTTGATTACCAGTGAGTATTATTACATGCATGAGGCTATGTTTGGGTTTTGAATATGATATGATAGGATATGAAGGAGCATAACGTATCTCCATCATTTTTGAGATACTTGAAAGAAAAAAAGTAACAAAGAAAAGCATATTTTCGCACTCAGCACACACTTTTGAGGTGACCATCCTCCTCTCCTCACCACCAATTTTCGAAAGAGAAAAATATTTGTAATCTTGCATTATGCTTTGCTTTGCATTTCAATGAATATTATCTCTCGTGCATAACATTCAGACCTGATTGAATAAAGCATGCCCTTTAGGAATTAAAAGACCTTAATTTAATGGCTTCCCGTGGAGGTTGGCAACCGGTCTTTCGTCGTCGTGGAGTGATAAAGGCTACAAGGGACTCAAAGGGAGGGAAGCTAGTTACAGTATTTGTGGACAACATCCCTGACTCAATGAATCCGAAAAGTTTGTTTCAGTTGTTTGCAAAGTTTGGCATTGTTAAGGATGTGTTTATCCCAAAGAAAAGGAGAAAGATCACTGGTTCGAGGTTTGGCTTCGTTAGGTACGATTGTTCGGTTGCAGCTGAGATGGCAGTTCAAAGAGCGGATGGACTGTGGTGTGATGATAAAGCACTGAGGGTTAAAGGGGCTGAGTTCAAGAGGGAAGATCCTGGAAAAATCAAACAGTCTGAGGGCACCAACCAGAGGGCTCAAAATATGGTTCGGAACAGTCACTGGGCTGATCACAGAGGAGGTAAGCAGACTAAGCAGGACCTTGGAGGGCCAAAATCATATGCGGAGGTAGTTGGAAAAGGGGTGGCGCAGGGTACAGAGGAAGTGGTGGTTCACGCGTCAGAAGAGGGTAATGGGTGGCTGTATGAAAGCCTGATAATCAAGCTGCATACCTTCTTTTCCTTTTCAGCTTTCAAAGAGGAATGTTAGAAGAGGGGTCTTCAGGAGGTATTAGTGAGAGCCGGTGAAGGTAGACTTGTAATCCTAACGTTCCCATCAGTTATGGAGATGAAAAGACAGAAAGAGGTAATTAAGGAATGGATTTTTGACTCGTGTAGCTCAATGGAGGAGTGGGATCCGAGAAGTAGTTTTATCCAAGAACGGTGTGTTTGGATTAACTGCTTTGGAGTTCCTTTCAATTTATGGAGTGTGACCACATTCAAAAGTATAGGGGCTGTCTGGGGAGAAGTAGTACAGGTGCATGAGGATACTATCAAGCATGTCTCTTTTTGCTGTGGGAAAATACGAGTCATTACAAAGTCCATGGAGCTTATCAATAGGACTGTTCGGTTGAGTTGTAAGGGAGTCCTGTACCTAGTAAGGGTTTATGAATGTCCTGAGTTTGTGGAGATGTCAGCAAGCAGTAAGAGCTGCTCTGTTAATGGATGGAAGGTGCCCAGTGGCCTTCAGGGTGAGGAGAAGAGGGATACATATTCCAATGTTGGAGGGGATCAGAGAAGCAGCGTAGTGAAGTCCAGAGGGATTGAGGTCAGGGATGATGAGGTGGCCTGTAGTGATGAGGTGGACCAATGTAGCAAGAGCATGTTACTAAGAGATGGAAGCCACGTAGCAGTGCAGCCTAGGGGAGAGATGAATGGTGCAGGTTCTGATAGTCAGGTGCCAGAAACATGCTTGCTTGTTACCGAGGGGAAGGTGGAGAAACTAAACAATGGGGTGAGCTGGCTGGCAGGGGAGCAGCTGCAGTTGCAGATGGAGACTCCAAGAAGAATGTTTGGGGAAGTAGTGGGTGCAGAGGATGTTGTGCCTACTGGGTTTGTTAAAAGCCTTAGTGGGTCTGATGAAATTGGGCCGAGTATCAACATTGAGGTAGTGCTAGAAGGGGCTCAGTTAAGAGGTGATCAAAGTGGGCCTGCAGCTATAAACAATAACAGGGCGGTTGACAGAGTTCAGAGTGTTGAAGCCCAGCCCAAGATGAATCAAAGAAGGGAGCTAGGTGGTCCAAGCAATGAAGATGTGCAGCTAACAGTATACAAACCAGAACCGGTGGAGAGAAATGGTCGCATTCGAAAGAGGATGGGCAGCGCTGGAGGTACCAGAGGAAGGGGGAAAAGGAGAGCTCAAAGTACCCAAACTTCGTTCGTATCTGGGTTCAATAGAGGAGCTGTATTGAGGGCAGCAGCTGCGGCTTTATCTCAGTCCTTGTCTAAAGAAAGTCAGGAGCGTAGGAGGAGGAAGAAGAGAGTGGAGGAAGCAAACGAAATCCTGCAGCTTGGTAACCGATTGGGGATGAACTGTGAAGGTAAAGAGGCTGAAGTACTTCAGAGAATAGTAGAGATGGAGCAACAAGATGAAGATCGTTTGGCAAAGGAGATAGGGGGTGTGTTGGGTCTAGCGTAACCGATTAAAAGCTTGGGGTTTATTTAGGGGAGTTAATAGTTATAAATGAAGATCATGTCCTGGAATGTCAGAGGGTTGGGTAGGGCAGAGAAACGGCGGAGAGTTAGACAGGTTATTCAGGATAGAAAGGTGGATGTCCTGCTTCTTCAAGAAACAAAAAAAAGTAGTGTGGATGAGATGTTTGTTCGCTCCGTTTGGCCTTGGGAGAGGATGGCGTTTATGGCGGTTGATTCTGACGGTAGTGCTGGAGGGCTATTGAGCATATGGAATACAGAGGTGTTTCAACTAAAGGAGTGTTGCGGTCATAGAAACTTCCTGCTCTTATCAGGTGTAACTCTTAATTCCTTTGAATGTGTTTTTTTAAATGTGTATGGGCCTAATGATGTGTCTAAAAGAGCAGAGTTATGGGCCACATTTGGTAATATTAGAACTAGTTTCCATAGACCCTGGTGTATGGGAGGGGATTTTAATGTTATTAGAAATATAGAGGATAGAAGAGGCTGTGCAAGGAGAGACAGAGGAATGGTAGAATTTAATAATTTCATTGACCAAATGGAGTTGGTGGAAATTCCTTTGTTAGGCAGAAGATTTACGTGGTGTAACTCCATGGCGGGAGAGCGGTGGAGTAAGATTGATAGGTTTCTGCTGGACGTGGTATGGTTGGAAAAGTTCAGGTTTCAGATGTGGGGTCTTCCCAGAGTGGTATCTGATCACTGCCCACTTCTGTTGATGGAAGATGAGAGGAATTGGGGGCCTAGACCATTTAGGTTCCTTAATGCTTGGACATTGCACCCAGGTTTCAGTTCAGTAGCTCAAAAAGCGTGGTCGAAGAATCAAGTTCAAGGCTGGGCTGGTTATAGACTGCAAAGCACACCCAAAAATCCTTCTTTGTTTGCAACCCTTTCTTTTTCTTCTTCTTATTTTCTCTCAACCCTTCTCTCCCGTGGCTGCTGTGTTTGATGCTGCTATAGTGTATTAGGCAACCTAGGATTGTGTATCTAAACAAAAGGCTCTAGTTTATTATCTCTTTATATTATTTTATTTTCTCTCTCAATTAATTTAAATAACATACAAATATTATTGGATTAAAATATGCTTACTAATTTGTCACTTTTTTTTTTTAAAATAATAAATCTTGCCTCTAAATTAAAGACTTTCACCATAAATTTATTTTTGGTTTAAAATTAATTAAAAGAACTTCCAAATATTTAATTTGCACTTTAGGATTCACCACCAAAATATTTGAGATTGTAATATTATTATTTACTTAATTTTTATATTCGGGTTCTCACATTCTCCCCTCCTAAAAAAAAGTTTCATCCTCGAAACTAACCTGAGTAAATCATGAGAATAGATGTGGGTACTTCTTGTGCATCTCGTCCTCGCATTCCCAAGTCGCCTCTTCAACTAGATGATTACGCCACAGTACCTTTAACCAATTTAATGACCTTTGTACGCAACCTTTTCTCTTTCGAATCCAAAATCTGAACAGGTATCTCCTCATACGAAAAATCCTCTCTAATCTGAAGCGACTCATAATCTATCACATGCGACGGACTGTACACATATTTCCTCAGCATAGACACGTGAAACACATTATGCACTCCTGCCAACCTAAGGGGTAGAGCAACACGGTACGCAACCTCACCAACCTTCTCCAATACCTCAAATGGACCAATGTATCTAGGACTCAACTTTCCTTTCTTTCCAAACCTGATCACTCCTTTCCATGGTGATACTTTCAAGAATACCATATCCCCCACATGAAACTCTAAGTCTCTCCTACGATGATCAGCATAACTTTTTTGTCTACTCTGAGCAGTCAATAATCTCTCTCTGATGGTGATAATTTTTCGTGTAGCATCCTCCACCTAATCAGGTCCCAACATTTGCCTTTCACCAACCTCATACCAACACAAAGGAGACCTACACTTCCTCCCATACAAAGCCTCATAAGGAGCTACTCCCAAACTAGAGTGATAACTATTATTATAGGCAAACTCCATGAGCGGCAAACAATCATCCCAATTACCTCTCCACTCCAAAGCACAAGCCCTCAACATATCCTCAAGGGTTTGAATAGTCCTCTCTGATTGCTCATCTGTCTGAGGGTGAAATTTAACCGAGTACCTATAGCTGACTGTAACGCACCCCAAAACTTAGACACAAAACGACGGTCCCGATCTGACACTATTGACACAAGTGCACCATGCAATCACATACAACTGTGCAAATCGAGCTAGAGAATAGGTCATCCGTACTGCAATAAAATGTTCTGACTTGGTTAATCTATCAACAACTACCCAAACTGCATCGTGATTACTACTAGTACGAGGTAATCCGCACACGAAGTCCATGGTAACATGATTCCACTTCCACTCCGGTATAGGCAAGGGTTGTAGTTTTCCCGCAGGTTTCTGATGTTCTACTTTAACCTGTTGACACACCAAACACTGAGCCACAAATTCTGCAATATCTCCTTTCATACCATTCCACCAAAAATGTTCATGAAGATCCCGATAAATCTTAGTGCTTCCAAGATGAATGCTGTAACTAGAACTATGTGCCTCCATCATAATCTCCTTCCTCAAATCACCACTAGCAGGAACACAAATTCGGCTACGGAATCTAAGCAACCCATCATCACTAACCACAAAGTCTACATGCTTACCCTCTGCCATCTCTCCTTTAATACGCTCACACTGGAGGTTAATCTCTTAAGCTAAATGAATCTGTTCTCTCAAGGTCGGTTGAACTGTCAATTGACTACAATAAGCCCTATTACCAGGTGTAACAACCTCAAGCCTCAAACGTCTCATGTCTTCCACCAAACAACTCTCAATAGACAAAGCAGCTACATCTCCAACTGCGACCTTCCTACTCAAGGCATCTGCAACCACATTTTCCTTCCCCGGATGATATAAAATATTCACATCATAATCTTTTAGTTACTCAAGCCATCTTCTTTGCCTCAAATTTAGTTCCTTCTGTGTGAAAATATACTTCAAACTCTTATGATCAGTGTAAATCTCATATGACTCTCCATAAAAATAATGCCGCCAGATCTTAAGAGCGAAAATCACTGTTACTAACTCTAAGTCGTGCGTAGGATAGTTTCTCTCATGTATTTTCAACTGTCATGACGCATAAGCAATCACCTTCCCATGCTGCATGAGCACACATCCTAAACCCCATCGTGAAGCATCACTATAAATCATAAAACTACCACCACCTGTAAGTAAGGCAAGGATTGGAGCTGATATCAACCTTTGTTTAAACTCTTGGAAGCTACACTCACAATCATCATTCCACTCAAACTTACCTCTTTCCTAGTGAGATTTATAAATGGCAAAGCAATACGGGAGAATCCTTCCACAAACTGTCTATAATATCCAGCAAGCCCTAGAAAGCTACGTACCTCTGTCACAAAAGTAGGTCGCAGCCAATCAATAATTGCTACCACCTTCGTGTTATCCACAAATACCCCATCTTTACTTACCACATGACCCAAAAAGGATACAATGCTCAACCAAATTCACACTTCTTAAATTTTGCATACAGTCTCTTCTCCCTAAGGATCTAAAATACTACCCTCAAATACTGCTTATGCTTCTCTTTACTCGAATAAATTAGGATGTCATCAATAAACACTACCACAAATTTATCTAGCTGGGGTTTAAATACTATGTTCATTAAATCCGTGAATGCGGCTGGTGCATATGTGAGACCCAAAGGCATCACCAAGAACTCATAATGCCCATAACGGATTCTAAAAGCTGTCTTAGGAACATCCTCATCCCTTACTTTCAACTGGTGATAGCCTAACCTCAAGTCAATCTTAGAGAATACTTGAACTCCCTACAATTGGTCAAATAGGTCAACAATACATGGCAAAGGATACATATTCTTCACTGTGACTTTGTTCGGTTCTCTACAATCAATACACAACCTCATAGACCCATCATTCTTCTTCACAAACAACACAGGTGCTCCCCAAGGTGAAACACAAGGCTTAATAAAACATTTCTCTAACAACTTCTATAACCGAGTTTGAAACTCCCTCAACTCCAATGGTGCCATTATATAGGGCACTTTAGAAATAAGTGTTATGTTGGGGACCAAGTTAATGGAAAATTCTACCTCGCGATCTAGAGGAAGTCCAGGTAGATCTTTTGGAAAAACATCAACACAATCACTCACTACAGGCAACTCCTCTAACTTCTATTATGGCAGTTCAATACTCACCACACAAGCTAAATAATCATGGCACCCTTTACTTAACATTCGATTAGCCTAAAAGGAAGAAGTAAAACAGATAGAAGACCCTTTCATATCCCCCTGAAAGAAAAACTCAAGTTGTCCCAGCATAGCAAAAACTACCCCCATTCTAAAACAATCAATAGAAGCATGATGCTTCGTCAACAAATCCGTCTCCAAAATCACATCAAAATCCTTCGTCTCTAAAGAAATCAAATCCACTAGAAAAATCCTACCATCCATCGTTATCTGACAAGATCTACAAACATCTCTCAACACTATTGTTTCTCCTAATGGATTACACACGGTAATACAAACATCAAAGGCTCACAAAGAATCAAAAATCCGAGTAAATATCTAGATACCAACTCTTAACCTTCAAAATGAAATCAAGAAAGATTCAACATAAGCTTAAAAAAAACTAACTTAACCATACACTACTAAGGACTATAGGGACTCGGACCTCGTCTAAATGAGGAAATGCAAGATATGTAACTCGATAAACTATAGCTCTGATACCACAATTGTCACACCTCAAATACGGGCATGACCGGCCGTGGCCCACAGGGACTTAGCCCAAGGCACACGTAAGCCTAAACATAAACCCAAAACCATAAAGAATAAATGTGATGATAGCCCAGAAATAAATAAATCAACACTCAATCCAGTGACATGCCACAATTGAAAAACAAGTCATAACCAACTTCCTAAAAACATATATATACTAAATGGAACACAAACCATCCACAAAATAAAATAATTCTAAATAAAACCCAACCACAATGTATGCACAAAACTCGACAAAGCAACCTAAAACAAATTAAATAAATGCCCTAGAGGTCCATGCAATTGAGTCCCCGCTACGCCATGAGTCCACTCTAAGTCCTTCTAACACCTGGAAATGGTAATCATTCATATAAATTCACATTCTAAATATCCCAAAGTCATACCGATGCTTGAAAACTAATTTCCATATACTACAATACTCATACATCATGGAACCAACATTGTACAATTTGTAATCACACACATGTATATATATATATATATATTGATATTATATATACATATATTGCCAACAAATCAAGTGAGGTTTCCAATTTATATGCAACTAGAGTCTTCATGATACAACACAAATAAGAATTTTTCACTCACCCTTTTATTAATCTCAAGAAAGTCCCTTGATTTATCCAACATTCCCAAAACCCCCAAATTTCTAGGTTTTTCACAAAACCCTAAAAATACTCATCCTTTTTATGAAATCTTTTCATCAACTTCAATCTCAACCCATTTTGTTCAAAGTTTCAAGAAAAGTCCTTAAATGAACACAATATAGTGTTTGATCTACAAATCATTCAATTTCTTGAACCACCAAGAACATTTTCCAAATAGGAGGAGGAGCTCAGGATCACCAGTACGATTCGAACAACAAATACATAATTACATGAAGTATAACGTTTTTATCTTATTCCTTAACATGATTACAACTTTTCATCAACTCATAGAAGACTAAAATTATATATATATATATATATATATTAAAAAGGCTATTGTACAACTTAGCACAATGATGTGTTCGTAATTTGTCAAATTCAACCTTGTACACTCAGTTGCATGGTCCATTTTTTCAACTAGAATACTAAAATATTTCAGTATAAAAACCATGTAGGTGTAACTTCAAAATCTAATTCTAAGAGAACTTTTCAAAACTTCACTTTGTATTAATGTACAATAACCTTGCAAATATACATATGCATACGCACACACACATCTTAATACCTTCTAAGCAATGGTTCTCTCTTCTATTTTCGTTCTATATTTGCAACTTACCATTGATACAAACCTAAATGCCTCTTAACAACAATTGTTAGTAGCACTAGGAAGAAAATAATTGAAAAGAGAAAACATCACATACGATTGATATTAAAATGAAGAAAAGAAAAAGATAAACTATGGACTACACTTGCAAATGGTAAGATTTTTAATGTAAAAATAATAATACGAAACTGAGTGCACCTACTTACCACTAGAGAGAGAGAGAGAGAGAGAGGGGTGGGTTGGGTTTGGTTTGGTTTGGTTTGGTTTGGTTTAGGATATGCAGGTATAATATGTATATATATGAGGGTAGTTTGGTCATTTGGTAAAACCTTGTCCTTATGAACATAATGTTTTAACGCCTGGATTTTTGGACAAATAAAATCTAATTTTGAACTTTTAAACTGAGTGCCCTTCTATTTATATTGTCAATGCTCCTACCCATTAAATAATAAAATAATAAACAAATAAAGCATTGTTGTGAAATATTTGGATAACCATCAAAAGAGATGTAATTAGAATTCTAATGAGTTTTGGGCCAAAGTGAAAATAGAGGAAAGTTTTACCATGTGGGAAGTGTGGTATGCCATGTGGTAAACCACATAGTGTGATAAATTGTGGTGTATAGTGAAGGTTTTATCAACTATAAATAGGTGAGTTTGCATGGTACTGAAGATATAGAAAAATTGTATATTATATGTGTGATCTTTTATTTCCTCTTCCATTGTGGCTCTTCCTTCTTTATTTTCTTTAGTTTTATAATATGTTATCAACACGAGATTTTAGCCAGCTGAGAAGACAAAGCTACTGGGTGGTTGTAGTAAGTATAAATAAATTCTAAAGCTAATTATATATTTCCTTAATGTATTTACGTGATACTAAATGCATTGTTTTTGTTAAATTTAGTAATCATGTCAAATCATTCAAAATTAGAATTCTTAGCACTTGACATTTTTGGAAAAAATTATTTATCTTGAATTCTTGATATTGAGATCCACCTTGAGGCAATGAATTTTGGAGATACCATAAAAATAAAAATGAAGCATCCCTGCAGGATCGCGCTAAGGCAATGATATTCATTCACCATCATCTCCAAGAAGAATTAAAAAATGAGTACCTCACGGTAAAAAAATCCACTAATTCTGTGGAATAATTTGAAGGAGAGATACGAGCACTAGAAGACTGTAATCATCCCAAGAACCCGTTATGATTGTTTGCACCTAAGGTTGCAAGATTATAAATCAGTTAGTGAGTACAATTCTGTTTTATTTAAAATAATCTCTCGATTAAAATTATGTGGAGAAAAAATTACTGAAGAAGATATGTTTGAAAAAACGTTCTCCACATTTCACACTGATAATGTGCTCCTACAGCAACAATATAGAGAGCGTCATTTTTCAAAATACTCTGAACTGATTTCATGTCTTCTTGTGGCTAAACAAACTAATCAATTGTTATTGAAAAATCATATATCCTGTCCAACCAGTTCTGCTCCATTCTCTGAAGTGAATGAGGTTGCATTTCATGGTCGTGGACGAAGGAGAGGTCATGGTTTTGGACATGGCTGAGGTAGAAATAATTATCGAATCCGTAGGGGATATGTTTAGAAAAATAACATTCCATTCCACCAGAAGTGGAATAATTCTAGAACATCACAAGAAAAGGGAAAAGGTTTACAAAATAAACCTCCTAAGAATCATGAAAATGCTTGTTACAAGTGTGGCATGACAGGGTATTGGTCGTGTACCTATCATACGCCTAAATATTTGGTGGATCTTTATCAAGCCTCGATAAAAAAAAAAAAAAAATTTAAAAAAATAGAGAAAAGGAATTGAGATGCTTTTCACAAATCATTATGAAGCTATTGATATTAATCATCATGATGTTTCTGATTTCTTTGAAGATTCTAATGGAAAAATTGATCATTTAATTGGTGATGGAAATGTTCATGCTGATTAACTAAATTTTCTAGATCTCATGACGTATTGTCCTATTTTAATTATGATTTTGAAGTTTTTATTTTTGGATTTAATAGTTTGTATTTTCTTGCTTTAAGTTTTGAGAATAATAAATTTCAGTTTTTTATATGCATGGCTTTCATTGATGCATTGACTAACTCCAAAATGATTAGTGATGATACTTGTCTAGTGGACAGTGCAACCACACACACAATCTTACGTAATGCAAAATATTTTATACAATTAGTCATGGAAAAGGCTAATGTCAATACAATTTCAAGTTCTACAAACCAGATTAAAGGCTCCAGAAGAGCAAATATTATGTTGCCAAATGGAACAAAGATTTGTATTGATGAAGGTTTGTATTCTACCAGATCCAGAAGAAGACTGTTAAGTTTCAAAGATATACATCATAATGGTTATCATATTGAAACTATAAATAAAGGTCAGAAAAAGTAGTTATTGATCACTTCAACTAATTCTAGCAAGAAGCTATTATTAGAAAAACTTCCTACATTTTTATCTGGATTATATTATACGAAAATAAAAAATGATTGAGTCACATATTGAAGGTGTTTGGCAAAGGCTTTTTTAAGCTTTTTGAGCTCAAATCCACAAAATGACAAAATATGCTAAAATAGGCAATAAGACAAAATGTCACATCAAACCCATAATCATTTCACTTTTTCTCTCACAAACATCACATCCAACTATAAAAAAATTCAACTATCTTCTCAATCACAAAAAAATTAGCCTACTAAAATATCAACTTCCCAAACACCCACATTGTCATGTACCAGAAGTGCTCTGACCCAAAAATGTTTATGCTATGGCATAACTGACTCAGGCATCCGAGATCTATAATAATGCTTCGAATAATTAAAAATTCACATGGACATCCATTAAAGAACCAAAAGATTCTTTTACCTATTGATTATCTATGTTCCTCCTATTCACAAGGGAAATTAATTATCAGACCATCACTCACAAAGTAATTGTTGAATCTCCATCCTTTTTGCAAAGTATTCAAGGGGATATATGTGGACTCATACACCCTTCTTGTGAACCATTTCGTTATTTTATGGTTTTGATAGATGCATCAATCAGATGGTCACATGTTTGTTTACTTTCTACACGTAATATTGCATTTGTCAGGCTCCTTGCTCAAATAATTAGATTGCGAGCACATTTTCCATACCATTCTATCAAGACAATTCGTCTTGATAATGCCAGTGAATTTACATCCCGAGCATTTGATAATCGTTGCATGTTCATTGGCATTGATATTGAACACCTGGTTGCACACACTCATACCCAAAATAGTTTAGTTGAATCTTTCATTAAGAGACTTTAGTTGATTTCTCGGGCTTTGCTTATGAAAAGAAATTACCTGCTTCAGCATAGGGTCATGTTAAATTGTATGCAACATCTTTGATTCGTGTCAGACCAACTGCATATCATGAGTACTCGCCATTAATTTGTATTTGGTCAACCACCAAATGTTAGTCACCTTAGAGTGTTTGGTTACGCGGTTAATGCTCGTATTGCACCTCCACAACGCACTAAGATGGGTTCACAATGTAGGCTTGGAATTTATATTGGTTTTGATTCAGTATCAATCATTAGATATCTAGAACCTTTGACTGGTGATGTGTTTAAGACACAATTTGAGGATTGTCATTTCGATGAAACAATTTTCCCATCATTATGGGGAGGCAAGTTGCAGCCTAAAACTCAATAGGAAATCACTTGGAATATTTCAACGTCATCTCATCTTGATCTTCATACTAATCAATGTGAACTAGAAGTTCAAAAGATCATTCATTTGCAAAGTATTGCAAATCAGTTACCGGATGCATTCACCGACACAAAAAAAATAACAAAATCTTACATATCAGCAACTAATACCCCAGCAAGAATTGATGTTCCCGTCGAACAATCAGTGGGTATAGTTGCAAATGAGTCTAAGGCACGCCAGAAGCATGGGAAACCCATCAGTGCAAAAGATAAAATTTCTCGAAAAAGGAAAGCTCAAGAACAAACAGTTAGTACTCTAGAAGAAACCATAAATGGATCTCTTGGAGAGATCATACCCATAAATGAAAGCACCCCTGAAGAGGTTAGAACCACAAAACAGGCTATAGTAAGTCTATCCAAATCTCCTACTTATGAGCCTCTAGAAAAAGAACCTCCAAAAGAGAAATCTCTTGAAGAGTTATTCTCTAAAGTGGAAAAGATACCTGAAAATAATGAGATCTCAATACATTATATGAGTACAAGAAAAGTTTTGGATATAAATCAAATTGTTGTCAACAACATATTTTCATTTAAAGTCGCTCTTGAAATTACTCGAAATAATGCTGAAAATATTATCAAAAGTGATGATGACAATGAACCACAAACTGTCGAGGAATGTCGACAGAGAAATGATTGGCCAATGTGGAAAGAAGCAATACAAGCAGAGTTAAACTCGCTTACAAAACGCGAAGTATTTCGATCTGTAGTCCAAACCCCTGAAGGGATATAGCCTGTGGGATATAAATGGGTGTTTGTTCGAAAATGCAATGAGCAAAATGAAATTGTAAGATATAAAGCACGACTTATTGCGCAAGGTTTCTCACAGAGACCTAGTATTGATTATGAGGAAACATATTCACCCGTAATGGATGCAATTACATTCAGATTTTTTATTAACTTGGTAATCACAGAAAAATTAGATATACGTCTAATGGATGTAGTTACAGCATGTTTATGTGGATCAATAGATAGTGATATATATATATATATATGAAACTCCCTAAAGGATTTAAAATGCCAGAAACATCTAATTCAAAACCCATAAGTGTTTATTCAATCAAGCTACAAATATCTCTATACGGGTTCAAATAATTCGAACACATGTGGTATAATCAGCTGAGTATATATCTATTGAAAGAAGGATATGTAAATGATCTGATTTGTTCATGCATTTTTATTAAGAAATCAGAATCCGAATTTGTAATTGTTGCAGTATATGTTGATGATTTGAATCTTGCAAGAACTCCAGAAGAGCTTACAAAAACTGCAGAATATTTAAAGAAGGAATTTGAAATGAAAGATCTTAACAAAACAAAATTATGTCTCGGCCTACAGATTAAACATTTGCCAAATGAGATTCTTATACATCAATCAACATATATAGAAAAAGTCTTGAAGAACTTTTATGTGGATAAAGCTCATCGTACTCCTATGGTTGTTCAATATCTTGATGTGAAAAAAAGGATCTTTTTCGATCTCGAGAAGATAATGAAGAACTCGTTGGTCCTGAAGTAATTGGTGCTCTTATGTATCTTGCAAATTTTAGTAGGCCTGATATTACATTCACTGTCAATTTATTAGCAAGATATAGTTCCGCACCAACTCAAAGGCATTGGAATGGAGTAAAGCAAATATTACATTATCTTCGTGGAACAACTGATATGGGTTTATTTTATTTAAATAAATCCAAGCCGCGGTTAATCCGATATGCAAATGCTGGATATTTTTCTAATCTACATAAAGCCAAATCACAAACATGATATGTTTTTACCTATGGGCGTACTGCTATATCTTGGCGATTAGTAAAACAAACATTGATTGCTACTTCTTCAAATCACTCAGAGATACTTGCAATGCATGAAACAAGTCGAGAATATATTTAGCTTAGATCCGTGATCTATCATATTCAAGAAAGATGTGGATTGTCTTCAACAAAAAATAGTCAAACCATATTATATGAAGATAATGTTGCATGTATCACACAAATCAAATGAGACTATATCAAAGGTGAAAGAACTAAACACATTTTACCAAAATTCTTTTACATACATGAGCTCCAGAAGAATGGTGATATTGATGTTCAACAGATACGCTCAAGTGATAATCTAGTAGATCTATTTACTAAAGCATTACCAACCGCAACATTCAAGAAGCTGGTGCATAATATTGGGATGCATCAACATAAAGACCTATTATGCAGCATTGAGGGGGGGAGTCATCAATTTTAGTAAATTTGTAGAGTGTACTTTTTTTCCTTTGTCTAAGGTTTTTTTTCCACTGGGTTTTTTCTTAGCAAAGTTTTAATGAGGTAATCTAAACAAATCACATACAAGAATATTATACTCTTTTTTCTTTATCAGAGATTTTTTCCCACTAGATTTTCCTTGGTGAGGTTTTAACGAGGCATATTCTTAGTATATGGTTATCCAAGGTGGAGTGTTGTGAAATATTTGAATAACTATCAAAAAAGATGCAATTGAAATTCTAATGATTTTTAGGCCAAAGTGGAAATAGAAGAAAGTTTTACCATGTGGGACTGTGGTATGCCATGTGGTAAACCACATGATTTGATAAATAACAGTGTATAGTGAAGGTTTTATCACCTATAAATAGGTGAGTTTGCATGGTAATAAAAATATAGAAAAATTATGTATTATATGTGTGATCTTTTATTTTTCTCTTCCATTGTGACTCTTTCTTCTTTATTTTGTTTAGTTTTATAATAAGCATTATGAATTAAATGTGATATTTGGAGTTTTATTAGTTGGAGTCAATGGGCGGCTTGTGATGGCCTTTGATAGATCGCCTTTCATTTGGCATTTTTTTTTTTTTTTGGTGTGGGGTTGTTGAAATATGATACATCAACCCAAAGTTTTGCTTTATCTAATTGTTGAAAATCATATTTTGGCTTGGTTTGCCAAAAAGTCTATCGCTTTTTGTTTTTTTTTTTGTTTTACTTTTTTCAACATTCGGGCATACGTTTTATTTTGAAATTTTTATAACAATAGTCTCAAAACTCTATTATTTTAGAGGTTAGACAATTTAAAAAATAAATATTATTCCAATTTATTTATCTCTCCATTCACAATTCACTCTACCTATTTGTCAACCTAACCTATATATTCACGTGTCATCTATTTTTCTAATTATTTGTTCACAGATTATTTCTTATTTGTCCACGTGTCGCATGTATATCCACTTAAT